AAGAAGCTTTTATATATTAAAGTGCAAACTTCTAAACAAAATATTCCTGAAACCATCAGGTGTTTAACATTATATTCAAACAGTGCATTTTTTTTCTGTAATAATGGACACTTTCATGCCGTAATAGGATCTTAAGTGTAAGTTGGGTTTACAATTTTGAAATGTTAAACAACCTCGCAGACTAAACAATCCCTCAGAGGTAGAGAGTAAGAAAATAGAAAAACTAACAACAGTTTAAAAATCAAGATGAGGCCTTTTCCAGATTTCCCAGATTCCTCCCTCCATATATTTTCTTCATTCCTCTCCCCCTCTCATTGTCTCTCCTCCTCTCCTCAGAGGTGTTAAAATGCTGAAATCGGGCCAACTTGCCATCACAGACGGGCCGTAAATCTCCCCTCCAGTTAGGGCTTTTTCTCCTCTGTTGCAGCCCCACCATTGTTAAAGTGAAGGCACGGCTCCAACACCAGCTGTCGGAGCAGAATACACCCCTAACCCTCTGAGGTACCGTAGAAACTGAACCCCATCTGTGTTGGACCTCCACACTCACGTCTGTTCAATGTAAACGTTTGAGTCCAGCACGTACAGGAAACTGATCCAGTGTTTAAAAGGTGTCGAAATGCAGGAGGCCGCCAAGTTCAACAAAAGCTCAAAAGAACATTTTCACTGTTTGATACTGTGGAAAAACTTCATAATCAACCAGCTAGAACCTTGAAAAATAAAGATATTTATATCTGAGTTTACAAAGCAGTGAGCAAATGGTGAGTGAGGAGATTGTCATGATACCCCTGCAACAAAAATCCTCCTGAATCTTGAAAGATAAATTAAGTTCAACATTTTCAGTGCATTACCACCAAACTGTCCAGACTGCTTTAGTGCAGATTGAGGCTTTGTCCACAAGTACACACAAATTTTTTAAAAACTTTTTTTCCCCACCCATCCCCACATAAACGGAGGTTTGTACCTGTTTGTTTAGGTTGGCTCTGAATTCTTGCTGTTCTAAGTTATTGTTCAGTGGGACAGAAAAAAATGAATACACTTGGAAAATACGTTTTCCCTATATATACGCGTGGTCTTGTTTGTTTCAGTATAGAGAACCCTGATCTTGCTTGTCTTCCCACGACAGGAGGCATGATGGCTGCTTGGAGGCTCCAGAACAGCATGATTGTTGGTGTTCATATTCACAAATGAGACCTCCAGTGGAAGCAGAGAGCAGATGCGATACATACATATGAATATTAGAGCAACTTAATCCAACCTCTTTGTGTCTCACTTAGGACTTGGATTTTGTGCTGCTTAGCAAGCAGAAAAGGGTCAAACACGCCCTTATCATTTTGCACTGTTCAACATGCATCATGTTTCCACTCTTTAGCTGATAGGTTATTGTTCTCATAATTGTGTCAACTTCCACTGGCTTTGCTGCAGTGCGTTTCTGCTCCTCTGCAGCAGATAAACACGGCTTCCATTTTTGCTAGACGCCGAAGCATGATGCATCCATCTACACTGGGAAGGTCCATCGAAGACATGAAGTCAGACACCAAAACAAGTTTAAAACATCCAGCTAGTTTTCAAAATATCACCCTACATATTAATACCGAATCATATTTTGCTTATCAACCCCCCCCCCCCCCAAAAAAAAAAAAAAAAAAACACCAAAGTAGGTCTGAAGTAAACAGCTTAGAGCCCATTATAGATGCTAAAGACCATTTATTCAACATTTAACAAGGGAAATGTTCGGTCTCGTGACTCCAGCTGTCCAGCGCTGCTGCTCTGTGCTGCGCTCTGAAAATGTAGCAGGTGGGTGTTGATGGATGAGGGAGCACAGAGCCGAACTGAGTAAAATTCTGGAGTTCGATTCTTCAAAGGGGCCAATAGTCGTTTTTGTGTAAAGAGCAGTGCTAAACGTTTGATAGCTGCTAAAATGAACACCAGTTTAAACATGATTAAAATGAGCGTGAAATTGTTATGTAGAGCGTTTGTGTTTTTGCAAAACAAATGAGTGAAACTTGAATTTCCTGCGACAGTGTTGTCCTGAACAGATTCTGCTGCAGTGTTTTTTCCCTCTGAGTTGTACTCTCTGGTGTTGTGCTGCTGTGTGGGTCACTGAACACTGTGAACACTGTTAACATTGTTCTGCACACCAGAAAATGTTTGTTATTCCCTCTGTAAGCAGAGGGTTGTGTGTATGAATTTCAATGTGATAGTGATCATGTGTGCTTATGAAGGTTTGTCTTCCCATGCTGCACTCCTGTGATATGCGGCGAGCCCTCTGGGTAACGTAGGCTCACTCTGTGTTACTGAGAGAGGGGAAACAATGAGTGCGGAGGATCACGCTAAAATCCCCCATGCCTCGTTCAGCCTCCAGGTTGCTGGAGTGCCACCCCTAATTTAATTACCTCCCTCTGTCTGACAGAGCGGCTGCCTGCACTGGCTCCCATCCCTGCATCACATTAAACACACACACAGACACACACACACTCTCACACATGCTGTCAGAGAACCATTGGGGAAAATGAGGCGGCAGAGGCCAGCCTTCCACAAATGAAGCAGGCGAGCGTAAGTGTGTGCAGCACAATCCCTTCAGAGCAGGTGAGAGCCGTGCAGATGCTCTTCAGTCGGCAGGAAAAATAAGCCCTTAATTACTACCCAGTCTGTCTCTCTCTTCCTCTGTTCCTCTCCTCCCCCTCGTCTTCCTCTCCTCCGTCGCACTGCACTGCGGTTGCGGTGTTCGCCTCAAGGCTGGTGATTGCGGCGCAGGGCTCCTCCGAGAGTCTTCCCTTGTTATTATCCTTAAACAAGCAATTACAGCCGAGTCCCCGAGTGGAGCAAAATAGAGAGGGCACACCCATAGAAAAGCTCTGGGTTCCTTAGACAAACGAATAAGCTCTCCCCGGCGATTCTGTTTCTGGATTTGGCTGCTTACTCCCACCAGCGCCGTGATGTTGGAGGGAACGCTATGGTTAGCATAAAAACCAGCGAGCCGGAGAAACGAAGGCAAAGTTTAAATAGCAGCGCTGAAAACAACACAGGCAGAACAGTTATGTTTGACATTAGACGGTTACGAAACACTTCTGTCTATTTCTGCAAAGGCATCACAGTAATTTAGTCCGTGTCTGGGATTTGGGGAGCCGTAAATTATCGGGCAGCAGAGGCCTCAAGGGGGGCAGCTCCAGCTCAGATGTTCTGCTGCAGAGGGAGAAGCTGGAGTCTGAACAGGCCTGTGGTCCGTGGAGATGTTTTAATGGAATCCTTGGAACCAGGAGAGGCACAGGGCCTGAATTTTTTCAATGACTTCATACAACTTAGAAAAGCTGCCACTGCAATTTAAAGAAATAATGAAACAGAACAAGAGCACGTTTTCACCATCAGAACACCATCAGCTCTCTTTCATATTAATGTAAAGTTCTCTTTACTGTTCATCTGACTCCTGATTTCTTTTATGCATGATTTTTGGGGTACGTGAGCCCCCTCTGACAGTCGGTCCTGAATCTTGTGGCATCTGTTTTGATGCCAGGATACCTGTTATGGTCCACACTGTCCAACTCTGACAACCCTGCTCATTACTGAGGTTGGACACAACCTTTGTTTTATCGCACCTTTGTCTTTGTGGCATCCTCTCCCTAGTGGGAAAGTCCACATGCTTTCAAAAACCTGTCCACCACACTCCTGTACCTGCCTTAATGAGTATAAGGTCTTCAGTTGTCATATTTATCCCAAATTCCCAAACTCTTGTGTAAAACCATAATCAAAACATAACTTGGTGGTTTAAAAACCATATAAAGCCAATGTTCAACTGAATATTATGCAAAGACAGATATAAATTGTCAAAACTGACAAATATCATAGTTTTGTATAAACAAATGTATGTCTGGTTTAAATGTAATGCCTGCATCAGCTTTTAGATAACAGTTGTGACAGGGTCGTGTTTCCCACTGTGCAAACATCAGGAACACTAGCTCTGAACTGCGAGTTGATAACAAGCCAGACGGACCCTCTACTCCTTGGAGCTGAGGATGCTGCGTCTATGATTTCCAAGGAAATCCTGGAAAGTCACGGACAGTCTGAGTTTGTCTAATGTGATTCATCAGACCACAGGACAGTTTTCATTTCCCCCTCAGTCCCATGGTTCAGTTTGAACCTTATTTGTGGAAGCAGTGATGAACTGTGTTCACAGACAATGATTTTTGAAATGAGCCTGCACAGGGATTTCCAGGACAGAGTCCAGCCTGTTTTTTAATGCAGCGCTGCCTGAGGGCCTCAAGATCAGGACCATCCAGTCTTGGTTTTGGTCCTTGTCCCTTTTGTACAGAGATTTCTCCAGACTCTCTAAATCTTTTAATGATATTTTGTTCTGTAGATGATGAAATCCACTCATTCTTTCACATTTGACATCCAGGAACATTATTCTCAAACTGTTGAACTATTAGCTCATGCAGTCTCTCACAAAGTGGTGAACCTCTTTCCATCTTTCCTTCTGAGAGACTCAGCCTCTCTGAATGTTCTTTTTATACCCAGTCGTGTTACTAACCTGTTGGACACTGGTGTCTTCAGTAAGGAAATGATTTTCTTTGCTTTTATTTTATTGAAAACCATACAGATCTGTTTTTATAATGATTTCACATAGCATCCTAACTTTTTTACAATTATGGGTGTATAAAAGTTGTGTGGAATCTAAACTTTTGGTCCAGATAAGTTACAACATGTAGGTAAGGGCAACTCTGGTCTTGGTTTTGTGGCTGTACCTCTGGGTTCCCAGAGCTCTTTTTTTCTTTGTGCAGTCCCATGATGGGATTTGAAATTTTAGGAAAACAAATCAAAGTAAAAAGTTTCCTGGAGCAGCTCGGTTGCCGGGCGGGATTTTCTTTCCTTTGGTCTCTGTTTCCTACATAACTCTAAAATCTGTGGTCTGGCAAACATTAGAGCCGATTCCACCATTGCCCCCTATAGCAAGTATTCCCCTCTCTCCTGTTTGTTACATCACAGGCATTACCTCACTGCTCAGCTCAGCACAGTCTAAACACACTCTCTGTGATGTTGCCATAACAATGTGTTCCTCTGGCTCTTAGCTCGGCCCGGCTCCTCCAGCACCGAGGCCCTCCATCACTCGTAAAGCTGTGCTGGGGAGGCTGCAGGTCTCCACACTCCATACAGCCCCCTGATCCCCCTCCACCACCACCAACCTCCACTCCACTCCACTCCACTGCTGCGATGACGACTGACTGTTTTTCACGAGAAAATCCAGAGAGCTGAATGGATCCAGCAGATGTGCTGTATTAAACAGACAAATGGAGCATGGGAAAGCTCTTTACAAAAATAATGGTGCAATTTAAAAAAGAATGACTCCAGGGCTGGAAACTAAGAATGCATTAGCTTTTAGCTTATTGCATGTCTTGTTCAATTTGTAGATCCACAATGAGAGGGGCTGAATTTAATGTTCAGGGGAAGTCAAAGCATAGGAACCATAATAGATGTGTCTCACACATCCTGCACCGACAGGACTGCTGCTCGAACATGCCTAAGAGTCTCTATGTGATATATTGTCATCTTAGGGCGGCATATGGAAAGATACTGTCGTTGATTTACAGAGCTGTGTAATCCTCTTAACTATATGTGAGACATGCATGATTATAATGGCCACCCTATACATTTTCCAGACCCAGTTCAGTGGAACTGCAGGGTCTTTTTCTATGGGATTCCCCTGCAAAAATTTCCCTGAACCATTCTTGAGTTATGAGCTGTTTCAGGTGATTTTGGATATTTCCTTTGTGCTACTTTCCATCCTTTACTCATAAAATGCAGCTGTTTCATAATTGCAACAGTATTTTTGGTGATATATTTGCCTAAAAACCCCTGATGATTGATTGAACTTAAAGCTTGAACCACTTTTAGCTTGAGTATTATCTCATCAGCCAGTGTGCTTGCATATTTTATGAACATGGGAGCGAACGCCGACACACAAACACATCTCTGACATGCAACTCATCTGATAGGAGACGCTTCATGGCTCCTGCAGTCACATCTGTTTGAGAAGTTGACTTCCTCCCAGAGCTCCCACAGATTCGATAGCTCTGTCAGGGTTACACACACACACACACACGCACACACACACACACGCACACACACACACATGGTGCACTGAGACTATGATGAGTCAAATTGAGGGTTGCTAATTATAGCCTGGGGAAACTTTTGCCTTTTTGCTCGTCATCGGCTCTCTTTGGGAAGAGCAGAGAAGGAAAAGCTGTCAGTGGGGGGCTGATGGGGAGGTGGGCGGCGGCCTCTTTCTGCAGGCATCCGGCCTGTCCTCTTCCTCAGCGGTGCGTGCTCATCGAGCATGCTCTCTGCATCTGGACCTATTCAACAACCCCCAACCCCAGAGCTCTGCCTCCTTCCACTGCTTGTATTGTCTTCCTTTTTTATTTCACAGCATGAGAATATGTTTTCTTTGTTACATTTTCTCATGAGGAGGCAAAGCTGGAGGCTGCTCCAGAGCAGACAGAGGAAGAGCGAGTTTAAATGTGTTCTTTATGTAACCGGGTGACAGATTTACTCATAAATATTTTGACTTGTAATTGTTGCAAAATCACTGCAAAGTAAAATGTAACCTGCTGGAAGTGGCGTATATGCAACTTCAAAATAAAAGCATGTTTTACAAGACAGGAAATAAAACAACCCAAACGAAAATGTCAAAATAAAAGCACCCACAAACATCTTTGCTCAGAGATGACACAAACTGGAATGCCAACACGAGCCTTTATCGCAATGCAGCAGAGGTAAAATGGCTCGGTCACAACTTTTGTGCATACTGTGTTTACTTATCTTTTATTCATTCAGCAGCATATGTTAGAGCTCGGTAATATTCAGAGTTTTCTACAACCAGGCTCACAAGTTGTTTGACTAACTTGAAAAGCTCAAAATTAAAAACAAGAAATGGCTCGAATTTTGCAGCAGGACCCCTCTTTCTTGTGCCTGCACGTTCTCAGGACCCCTGTGTAACTTCAGGGTGATGATTGAAGGCAAAACGTGTGGAACATGGGGGTGTCTGATCCAAACCTGAAGCTGTTAGTCCAGAGGCAGGATGCTGTCCTGATATCATCCTGTTTCCCGTGTGAATGGAAGCCCAGATCCAGCTCTGTCCTGGGGATCCCCCTCAACACACTCATACACACACACATACACACTTAAACACACTCACATATAAACATACTTAACCAGCAAATCCCCAGCAGGCCCTGGCACCACATATCCAGCCCCTGCAGCCCTCCCCCTCGTCTCTGCTTTCCCCTCGGCCCCTAATTGCTTTTATGCCTTTATTCTCACAGTGTGAGAAGTTTGACAATGTACATAAACGAAATTCCAGAATAGCAGCGGGATATGGAAAAAGCACATGTGGAAGCAGTTTGCCGCCCCTCTGGAGAAGACTGGGAATCTGAAGTTTTATAGATTTGTTCTGAAGCAGAGAAGGATGCCACCATTAAAGCTCAAGGCCCACTTCCATTCGTCTTACTGGGACTCAGTCCTGTTCTGCAGGCCTACACAGGGTGCTAGGAAAGTGCCCATGTGTTGGTCATTGATTCATGCAGGTCCTTGTGTAACCGCAGTGCTTCATGCCAACTCACAGTGAAGAGAAAAGCTGGAAATGTTTTGTTTCCAAGCAAACTGAATACTTCATGGAGGCTTCATGCATTAAGCAAATAGACCATTTAAATAAAAGTAAGCAACAGAACTGAGAGCTGGTTCACAGTAACACAGCGTAAAACTCTTCAGAGCACATGGAACCAAGAAGAAGAAAAAAAAGCATGAAATGATTTTAATCACATAAACATTTCAAGAAAATTGCTACAGGAACTTTTTATAAGCATGAGAACTTTACAAAAGTTCAGTCAGGAGTGGTTTCAATCAAAGAGAAGTTATCATTGTTAAAATGTGATGGTACCACTCTGCTCTGAGAACAAATGGCTTCTCCTCAGTCTCATGTACAAGGACAGAAGCGGCAAAGTCAGACAGCACAAGAAGGAGGAGCCAGGGTGGAGGCAGGAAGAGCAGTGGCAAAGTCATACAGCATAGGAAGGAGGAGCGGGGGTGGGGACAGGGAGAATAGCAGCATAGATTGACAGCATAAGAGGGAGGAGCTGGGGTTGAGGCAGGGAGAGCAGCAGCAAAGTCAGACAGCATAAGAAAGAGGAGCTGGGGTGGAGGCAAGAAGCAGCAGCAAAGCGGTTGCGAAGGATGCATTAGAGCAGGCAGTAGTTTGAATAGAATTACTGTTTTAACATTTGACTATTGTTTACATGGACCATCTTTCAGCTAAGATGTTGGCTGGTGTTATGATCAGCTGATATACTGTAGGCTAAGCTTAGCCTGCCTGAACTAGCACACAGCTTAGTTTAAACTGGCATTGACAGGTTACCTTTTGTACTTTGAAGGTTAGCTCTTTGATAAACCCACTCCCTTAGATGATACTGTTCCTTTTATAAAAGCAGGTTATAGACTTTCACAGACACAGGGATATTTTAGAAAGATGTTTCTACAGCTGTTGGTCTTTATTTGAGTCATTTCATGTAGCATTCATTCTACCAACTGAGCTAAACCATCACCATGACTGACATTTGGAGCTGATAAGCATGTTCTGAAAGAATAAAAAACAAGTTAGCTTTTCACAAAACAAGTGGAAAAGTTGAATATTTGATTAACAGTGTCCTGACTGTGTGGTAATGTGTGTTTTTCTGTGTAGTTTTGAATAAACTGTCTGTGTTGGATTATCTGAATGCGTGTCCTTGTTCTTGAACACTAAGGTTCGTGCCAGCCCCAGGAGGTGATTGGTGGATGCACTTCCCAAAAGGCAAGAGGGATCCGCCCCCCTGCTCAGAGAGCAAGATGGTGTCACTGCAGTGCAGAGGATAATCTCATCTCCCTTTTCTCCAAACTAGTCTCATTATCCTTTCTAATGAAACATTTGTAGGGTTTATCATCACCAGCCCATATCAGCTGACCAATCAGCTGATTATCTTCTACGCAGCCAATCAGCAAAAGTCAAATCGGTTGTTTTTGAGCCAGTCTTCAGTCTTCCTTCTTCCTCTGCAAACTGCTTTGCAACCCACCTCCACCCCAGTCCCGCCTCTTTTTGCTGGGTCTGATTTTACTAGGCTCAGATGTATAGTTACTGATGCCTGCTCTGTTCTGTACCCTGTGGTCTTTGCTGCTGCTCTCCCTGCCTTGGCTTTTTATGTATTCACGTCAAACAGAGGGGATGTGCTCTGCCTGTCTCTGGCTTTGAGATTCCACATACACTTGTGGAATTAGGGAACTGAGCTCTTAAACCAGTGCCATACCACCAAATATACCTGTGTGAAAATAGTTTGTAGTTAGTGGTTCCTGCTTGAGTTACATTTGGTTAAAACTTGGTTTCTGACAGTTAAAATTGGCACATCTCAGTTACTGTAAATCACTCATGCACATTGCTATCCAAGCTCGTGTTTTTGTTGGCCTGTCGTTTAACATTGCTTACCCCTTGCTTCTCTCTGGCTTAAACCTCCTCTCCAAGTATGGTCACATCTGGCTGCAGCAAAAATACAAAATTGGAGGCTTTAAAATGGTAGTCCACAAACCAGTTGGTGGCTGTACAGTAGCTGTGTCTGCTCTTTCAGTGGTATGAAACAAAACAGAAAAGCTCACCAGTGACATTTAGAAGTTGTATTTTGACAAAATTAAAGGATGCAATAACTCAAAAATATCAGAAAACAGTGAGTTTTGACTAAAGTGAAGGAGAAAACAAACAGACCTGCCACAGAAACATAGGGGTGATTTTCTGGAAGAAAGCCATTGATAGGTATTAAACACGTGGGAGTATGTTGGGACTCCATACAGAGGTATTATTTGATTATTGTTGTTATCTTCACAGCTCCCTGATCCAGCTTTTCCCTCTGTACAGATTCAGTAAAGGCTGAAGGATTTCATCATCTTAAACTCTATTGAAGAACCTCTGTGGCTGTTCAATAGCAGGTGATAAACAGGCTCCAAACAGCAGAATTATGAGTGTACGTGTGGGCCTATGCTGACAGATTAACATCCCTATTAAATCCCTCAACCAGTAGATTAACCTTGTTTAAAATAGCTGCATGAATTCAATGTAAAGGATTTCACTGAGGATTTACATAAAGCTGCATTTAGAGGAGCAGTGTAGGCACTGTTACTGTCACAAACGTCAAAAAGATCCATTGACCTCTTCAGAAAATGGGCTTCGAGACACGAAGCGAAACTGTTTTTCT